TGCCTCCCAAGTGCTGGGACTAAAGGTGTGCACCACCATTGTCCAGACTATTATTTTCTTTTTAGCTATTTGTCTCCCTTATATTCTAGCTCCTTATGACCTAAGAGGAGGCTGTACACACAGCCTTTAAATCATAGTAAGCAGGGTTCCTGTACAACACAGCACTTCTCCAGAGGACTCAGTCTGGATGTACTAGAACACATATAGCCTTGCTCCCAGTCCCCAGATCACATATAGGAATCCTTCTAGGCACTAAGGATGGCAATACCATAGGATTCACTCCTGTTCACCCATCTCTCTCTCTTCTTACTTTCTCTATAGCCCACCCATATCCCATTCAGGATTTCACCTTATCTTAATGAGCTGTGCCTTGGGTCAAACAAGAAGTCCTTGGCAACGCCATTGTTCTAGAAGCAGGAGCTGCGTGTAGCACACCTGATTACTTTTGCTTGGACAATGGCATATCTAGCCAGATATGCTACTATAATGAATTTCTTACAGGCCTAGAGCAGTGGTTCTCAATCTTCCTAACACTGTGGCGCTGGAATACAGTCCCTCATGCTGTATTTTTGTTTGTATTTCATAAATCTAGTTTTGCTACTGTCTTGGATTGTGATGTAAATATGTCTATTTTCTGATAGTCTGTGAAAGGTTCGTTCAACCACCAAAGGGGTTGTGACCCACAGGTTGAGAACCACTGATCTAGAGGCAGTTGCTTAGCAGTTTAGAACCTATTTTCCTAAATTGTGCATGTGCATTGCATAGTAGAAAGTGCAATCATAGAAAATTGGAACAATATGAGATTTCAGCCAAAAATTAATTCCAAATAAACTGGAATGTGAAATATATTAGTACCTGACAGCACTTGCCTGTGTCATCACAGACTTCATAGCAATCTTGGTTCTTTAAAAAAATTATTTATTATTAATGTGTGCATCATGTGTGCATTTGGGCATATGTGTGCCGTGGTGCTGGTATGAAGGTCAGAGGGCATCATTTTGGAGGGTTTTTTTGTGTTTGTGTGTGTGTGTGTGTGTGTGTGTGTGTGTTTTTCAAGACAGGGTTTCTCTAATAGCCCAGGCTGTCCTGGAACTCACTCTGTAGACCAGGCTGGCCTCGAACTCAGAAATCCGCCTGCCTCTGCCTCCCAAGTGCTGGGATTAAAGGAGTGCGCCACCACTGCCTAGCCTTTTTTCTTTCTTCCTTCCTTTCTTTCTTTTTTTTTTTTTTCATTTTGGAGTTTTCACGTAGCTCAGGCTATGAGCTGGTTTGCCCGGCTCACCTACCTCCACCTCCCAAGTGCAAGCATCATGCCCAGCCTCTACTGTTTTTCACGTTTAAAAATCTTTCATTCAGATGTAAAATCAAAATAGCAAATACTCAGCAACATTTCTTTATGTAAATGTAAGCAATCCATCTTGTTAGTATGCATATTTGCTTTAATTTTTAATAAATGATAAAATTACATGTATGCCAATTTAAAAAGAAATTATGGTTGACTTCCAGGAAATATTTTATTTTATACAATATACAAGGAGCTATGTAAAAGATTTTCAGGCCAAAGGGGCTGCAGGTGGCCCTGGTTCAGTGTAGGCTCCTAAACAATAACAGGGGAACAGATCTTGTACGGGGTGCTTAACTCTTTTCAGGCTGGTCTTTGCTGGTAAAACTGAGATAAGAACAGCTTTGTCTCTCTCTCTCACTAGGCTTAATGACTGAAGGAGCACTTGGCCCACAAACTGGCCATTACCTGCCAGCATGTAAGAGCTACATACATCAGGTGGACCTTTGCAGGACCCCACCTGGAACTGAGTGACCAGAATCAAAGGAAATTGTTTAGGATCACTTCCCAAACGCAAAATGCCACCCTCTTTGTCCTTAGTTTTTACGACTCACAAGTCTCAAAATACAGTTGACATGGTCCTTTCTGACAAAACTTTATTGTATATGTTACATGTTAAGAAAACATGATATTCAAGGAAAAGCCCAATTTTTCGTCATCCTTTCCACCAGCCAGTTTCTGCCTGCTAGCCTCTCTAGCAAGCGCAAGCACTGAAGCTTGCTTTCTTCCCTACACGACCTCTCAACCTTCAGGTGATTACATTTTCCTCTGGCCCCAGAGAGCTGACGTTCATTTTGACTTAATCCCTAAGTCAAGGCTTCAAAGGTCCCAGTCTACCAGACACCTCATTCAAGCAAGCCCGAAAGTAGCGGTCGGTCTTTATTTAGTTTCCCCTTCCAGATTCTGGAAAGCAAGGGCAAGAGAGGACCAAAGGTTTGGGGGGGGGGCCTGCAAAAACCACGATGTGCCCATTTTGCAAAACTTGACAGTAGGTGAGCCAACCCCAAGTGGGGCGGTGAAAAGTGCTTGGAAGAACTGGGTGGTAACAGCTGGCAGAACTCTGTTTTACGTTAAAGCATTCCAGGGTTGGTGGGTTAGGAAGGACTGACTTGGGGTTGTGTCTCCTACCACCACTCTTCTAAATGTTTGGTAGGGTGATCTCCTGGAGAGTCCTCTGACCTTCTGCAGTCAGTTCTAGGCGGCTGCCCTGCGGGACCTCTAATGTGCCAGGTGACGGAGGGGTCCCCGTAGTGCAGTGCCAGCGGCAGCTGCAGAGGTGGGGTGTCTCTTGTGTCTGACGCTGGGGGCCAGGGTGGTGGGGTTTTGCGAGCTACAGAGCTGAAAACCTGAGAGGCGTGCAGGGATGGGGTAAGGGCTCCCTTTCAACCGAGGGGACCTAGCTTTGCAGAAGTCCTAGCGCGCTCACCTGTATTGATCGAATTTGGCATACAAAGCCCACTCGGCGGGATTGCTCTCGTAGGCTTCCAGCACAGCCTGCACCTCCTCCACATTGACTTCGTCCCCCGCGAAGAGCTCGTGCAAGATGCGGATGAGGTCGGTCAGGGTCCGGGGCTTCAGCAGCTCGGTCCGTTCCATCCCCGCAGGGCTAGGGCGCGTCTCTTCAGGGCAGCTGCGGAGGACGCGAGAGCGCCAAGGGCCCCCGGCTGCAGGCTTGACAACAACACACACCCGGGACCCCGAACACCGGGGACTCACCGCGCTCAAAGCTCTCGCAAGGGTATCAAGGGAATAGGAGTTACGGGAGACCAGCCTAAAGCCCTGGACTAGTCAAGACCAAATCTGAGGAATCCGCCCTCCCGGGCCCTTTTTAAGCTCTTGGAGTCATCTAGAACGTACCAACCGCCTTCAGGGGGTGGAGTGAGGCGAGGAAGAGACCCGAGAAAGAGGCCGGAGGTGGAGCGAGCCAGAGGGAAGGCTCTGGCACAGCACGACGTGTGCGCGCCAGCCCTCAGAAGCCCCACTGCTGCCCTTGCTTCATACTTGCGGTGAGCCTCGGGCAATTTCTCCCCCTTCCTTAGCGGCGGATTTTGGCCGCCCATCCCAGACCCCACCTCCGGGGCTTGGTTTTCAATACACGTCTGTGTGTTTTAGATCTCTGTGGGAGATGCTGAGGAAAAGAAGCCCATCTTCTAAATGCAGCTCAGATGCATGGGGAAAAGAAATCAACAATGGGATCCATTCCCAGGCTAGAGTGACTGTTCTGTGAACCTAAATGGTCCACATATGTGCCCCAGGCTTGGTGAAAATTAATCTTTGAAAGTCACTTTTTAGCTCTGGCTGACTGGCTGGTAGGAGACCAGGTCGGTCTTAAACTCAAGATCTGCCTGCCTCTGCCTCCCCAGGGCTGTTTCTTCCTCCTCTTCCTCTTCTTCAATGTAAATTGTACAGTAGTGTATTGATTAAATTTTGACAAAGAACACCTGAGTTTCTAGTAAGAGTGCCTTCCAGGTATTTTGCTTTGAAGCACTGCCTGGTAAAGTCTATCCACCTTAAAGAGCTGAAGGTGCTAAGAGATGGTGAGAACAGGCCTTTGGGTGCTGCTGGGTTTGAGTGGCGGCAGTGTTTGCCACTGTGCAGTCATTTAAGAAGATCCTAATTAGATGATTTCAATTCAAGGCACATACACATAGCAAACAGGTCTATGTCCTGGCACTTAGCATGTTTTGGGAACAGCATAGATTACATATGGTTGAAAAAATCCTAACAGACACAACTCCAAGTACATATTCCTTCGTTCTATTATTAAAGGCATAGACTTCGGCATCCCTTGTCCCCGTCACTTCACAGACATATAACATGACATTTATTTGGGTTGCATAGTTTCACTCTGGAACACCTCTGCTTAATGTTATATCGTGTATGTCATTAAGGAAAACCATGGCTGTTGGGAGACAGACTGGTCACAATGGCTTAAACTCCTGTAATCCTAGCACTTGTCTGGCAGAGGCTCAATTGTAGTTTGTGGACAGCCTGGGCTATATCCTTAGGCCACGTCTCACAGCCCAAACAAGCAAACAAAACAAACAGAAAACAGAAAAACCAAAGCAAACAAAACACAAGCGGAACACCTTTGTAGAGTGTTCTGGAGAGTGGTTAGTAAAGCATCTGGGATCAAGTTAACATGTAGTTCTAATTGGTCACTCAAAACTTATTCTTGCCAATGTTTGTCTTTGAGCCCATTTTACTTGATATTTGGAATATAAAATTAAATTGCTGTCTTTGCATTTTAGCTTGCTTTATGTCCTAAATATTAAAAAAAAACCCTATGAAATCCTTAGCATAAACTATTTTAAGGGCAGGCATGGGATATTGTACTTGTGTCCTACAAACTCCATGTGCTGCTGTGCCTCTGCACAGTGACATCAAGTGTGGCATTACTAGACTTGTACCCATGGAACCTTGAAAATAGAAACTGAAGACTCACTTCCCTAAAATTGCATCTCAGAGACTTTACGTAGTCCAGTCACCCCACCACTCCCAGGCTCCCCGAGTGTTATAATGTCACTGCTAAAAATTATTTAGGCAAAGACCAATAGGCAATGTAAAATAGTCTGATAAAATTTCCTGAGTGCTAGACAGACAGCTCTACACAGTCCTCAAAAGCTACTGGGGAAAGAAAACAAATACGGTATACATATTTAGTTAACTTTTGATTTTATGTGATAGTAAGTTATTCTGATAAAAATGTTTCAAAGTTTATTTTTGATTTCATAGAGGTAATAAGCATTATCTCGAATGAATACCAGTCAACAATAATTCAACAGATTTCTCCTGTTAAATGTCTACCATTATGTTCTTTCAGTCACCTCTTACCAGGCAAAGCTAGAACAGATCTTTTCCCTTCCCAACTGACATCGTTCATAAATCAGTATGTCCCAGCTTTCAAGGTAAGGTGCTTTCCTAAGCCTGTACTGTGCATAACTCACTGTCATAGCACCCTGTGAACTATTATCTGCATTAACTCACTGTAAGGGTGCTGGGAAATGGGATGTCCAGAATTCACATTCTTGGGCAGAAGACAAGATGTGACCAGCACTGTACCGTGTTGTTCCACAGCATCTACTCTGAAGCACTCTAGGGCTTAAGAGTTAAAATTGAGCCAGGTACAATGGTGCACAACTGTAAGCCTGCTGCCCAGGAGCCTGAGGTAGGTCAGCGTGAGTGACACAGCCAACTTCAAAAGCAGAACAACAAAAAAAGGGTAGCACTTCAGGTTTTCAAGGTTTTTCTTTTGATAAAAAGATACTTTGCTATCCTCACCTTTGAAAGTGAACACTTGGAATCTTTATATACTTCAAACCTTGTAATCCTCTTAGACATGTCATTTATTAGAATATTTTTTTTCAGAGGCATTAATTTCATGTTTTTTTTTGTTTTGTATTTTTGTTTTTTGTTTTTTTTTGAGACAATCTTATTCTGTAGCCCAGTCTTAAACCTTCAATCTTCTTGCCTCCACTTCCTCAATCCTAGGTAAGAGTGCAACTAGCATTGTGTGCCATGTGTGCTTCTGGATGGAAATCTTCATGACTCCCATGGAGCTGGGTGAGGTGGTCTATCCTTTCAGTCTCAGTACATAGGAGGCACAGACAGGCACATCGATCTCTGTGAGTTCCAGGCTAGGCAGATCCACATAGTGAGACTCAGTCTCAAAAAAAAGTTTGACATAAAATGTGTAAGGAAAAGGTTAAATGTTGGCTCAAGTAATGGCTAGACTAACAACACCACCAGTGACTGTTCCACACTTTTCCTGTGATAGCATGAAATACACATAAAATTGGACACTATTTTTCAACCATTAGCTTGGAATGCTTTCAATTTGGAAAACACATGAGGAACACTCAATGAATGCTGGAGATGCAACCCAGCAGAGCCTGTGCCTTGAATGCACAAGGCACAGAGAAGGATCCCCAGGCTTGCAAAAATACAAACTAAAATTACACAGAGAAAAGAAATGAGGATTGGGATGAAATGGGAAACTTGGTGCTGCTTGGTTTCCCAAGTCAGCGCCTCTGATACAGAAGCGACAGTGGGAACACACTGAGTAGGGCTCTAGAATCTTTTTAGGATAAGTTCTTTTGCAGTCCAGTCTAGCTGTGGACTCCCAGGCCAATCCTCCTGCTCATGCTTCCTGAGTGCTGAGATCACAGGTGTGCAACACAATGCCCTAGGATGAGGCTGAGGAGTCATAAATGAGATGACTGAAAAGAGTTGAGACTAATCTGCTCACAATTTGTAAAACTGAGTCCCTGCATGATTAATTTTAAACTATGCATATCCCCTAAGTCCTCCGGTCTGTCAACACAGCTGCTTTCTAGATTACACATTAACTAGAAATTAGGTTCAACAGTCTTTCCTCCAATCACATGGCAAAGACTTGAAAATTGTCAAGCCTTTTTGCCAACTGGCTGCCCTCTACTGGACACTTAAGATCATTGCACTTTGTTTTACAAAGCAACACATAAATGTTAATATTCTACATCCCAAACAGAGGTCCCCTGAATAAGTTAAAAAACTAAATTATCTCAAAACACAAACCCTTCAGTACATTAGTTTTTATCATGGAATAAACACAGTGCCAATCCCACAAGTAAATAACTTCAGTCATCCTGAGACCCCGTAGTACATACGGAATTCCAGCCTCCTTTCTAATCTTGGAACAGGAGTGTGTGGGAGTAATGGGCACACCCTAACGGCAATCTCTCAGGATGATTTTATGGTGACACAAATCTCATTCGTTAGTCTATTCACTCTATGATGTTTTCTACACATAAACACAAGTCATCACAGATTCATGCTGAATATTTGATAGTCATTAAGTCTCTTCCCACAGCATCGAAACTTCTCTGATTTTTTTTCTTCTGTGAAAATATTAAGTTGTTCATTTGTGGCTCATCCCCACGCCTGTGATTTGCAGTAATGTAGGACCAGTTTACCATCACTGCCAAAACACTACAAAAAAGAAAAAGACAACATATCAAAACACTGATTCTGTTAGATTAACAACTGGGTTGGTGAGACAGCTCAGCAGTTAAAGAGCACTGGCTGTTCTTCTAGAGGTCCTGGGTTCAATTCCCAGCAACCACATGGTGGCTCATGTCCATCTATCTGATGCCCTCTTCTGGCATGCAGTTGTATATGCAGACAGAGCCCACAAACATTTAAAACAATACATTAAAAAAACCCAAAAACTAACATACTACCTTTTTCAAAAGATGTCTCTTCTTATCACATATATCAATATTTATAAACATTCAACCAAACCAGGGTGCCTTGGGTATGGCTTAAATACTTTCATTGCCTTCACAACCTCTCCAAACATGAGGTATTTTCAGCTCTTTCCCAGCAGTGCTAGCATATCTATTACTGATTATTGCCAGGAAGCAACACTGTTGAATAAATAAGGTCATTTTAGTACATTTTAATCAAAGTTTTTGGAGTGCTCGACTATAGGCAGTAATGAATAATGCAGAAGTGATAGAGTAGACAAAATTTCTAAAATTTTCTAAGAAAAGAAAAAGATGACTTTTAAACAGAACATATTCCTTGACTGTTTAAGCTTAACTTATTAAGACTTTACTCTGAAGGTGTTCACAATATAACAGAACAAGATTCTCTTTCTCCATTGATAATTAAGATGACATGCTATCTGTTAAAGATGTGAATTAATAACTCACACTATATAATAGACATGGCACCTGTAGGGTGAGGTTACTCACCTCATATAGAGTTCCAACTTCTTGGTCTGGGGAAGGGGCAAAGGACTGATTCACATAAATAAACTATAGGGAAGAAAGAAAAAAAAAATGGATTCAAAATGGTATCCTAAAATACAAGTCTTTGTTCCCAGCTCTTTGTAGCTAAGACACTTTTAAATGATGTGTGTGTTTGTGCCAGAGATGTATTGACATGGAGTGTCTTTCTTGGTGGCTCTCTTGCCTTATTTTTTTGAGACAGAGCCTCTTTCTGAGTTTGGAGCTCATCTAGTGGCTAGAGAGGCTACCCAGTGAGATCCAGGACCTACCCATCTCCCCCCAGGCCCTGAGGTTACATATACAAATACGGACCCCAAGTTTATGTAGGTGCTGGGTCCTGAACTCAGGTCTTCATCTTTGTAAGTGGAAGGCACATTATAGACTGATCTATCCCCCCAGATAAATACATTTTAAGTAACTTTTCACAAATAGTTTTTGAAAGGATATTCAAAACACTCTACCAAAATGCACAGGATTACCAATGAGTTCAAGTCCAGTCTACACAGTCAGACTACCTCAAAAGAAGAAAAAATCCCAATGAATCAAAATAAAGGATAAAATTTCTTCTACTTATTTCATATACACAGGTAAAAATTAACATGTTTGACATTAGGTATTTTCTTTGGGTATCTTACATACATTTTTCTTTCTTTTTGACCTTTACTACTTTTGAAAAATTTCACAGGTACCAAACTTCAAGCTGGACACTACTAGTATTAAATTACTTGCAGTCAAAAAGGATTCATTGTTCCAGACTTTAATCTGTTTTAAACTGAAATATTTCTAGTACTTAAAAAATTCCTAAAGCTATTAAAGCAAAAGGTCACAGTACCAGAGATGCTTTTGATTGACTTTTTTTTTTTTTTTAAAGAAAATAGAAGGAAAATGGAAAGCAAAATCCAACATTCACCTCAAGATCTAAGAATAAAATATTTTAGGCTTAACAATCTTGTTTTTCTCTCTCTCTCTCCCCCCCCCCTCCCCCCCCCTCTGTGTGTGTGTGTGTGTGTGTGTGTGTGTATGTATGTGTGTGTCTCTAAGAAACAGTATGTTATTTATACAACAATAAACATGGGTTAATTTTTTTCTCCTTCAGTACTGAATGAGGCAGTTAAGAGTCCTGGCCCTAAATAACACTTCAAAGGCTATCCTATGTATATGAATGGTACTGAAAATAAAAGTATTTGTTTCTCACAGGACAACTCAAAAGATAATATACATACCAAGTAATAGATAATGCCAAGCATAGCTATGTGTTTTAGTGATGATTTATTACTGAGGGACTACATAGCACGGCCCTGTAAGATCCTTCATGGAATGTACTGTTTTAGTTTGTATAACCATACTCTAAGATGTTCACATAACAACAAAATTGTTTAATAATGCATTTCTCAAATGTTTCCATTGTTAAATGCTGTGAGTGCTTGATATGCAAGCACGAAGAGTTGTGTTCTATGCCTCATATACTGCACAAAAAGCTGAGTATGAACATGCTTGTAATCCCAGCACTGTGGAGCTAGAGACAGGTAGACCCCTGGGATTTACTGGCTGGCTAGACTAGCCTTCTTGGTGAACTTTAGGCCAATTAAACTGTCTCAAACAAAACAAGATGAATGGCAAACAAAGCATGGCACCTCAAAGAAACAAATCTGTTCCTACAAACACCACCCCAATGAAGTGCTTGTCATATACTACACTGAAATAGGTAGACACCTATTAGTTCTTTCACAGTATGTGAAAGATATATTGTTTACCTGAGAAACAGGGGAACAAAAGTAATATTGAATCAAAGTAAATTAAACCCCAAACTTGACTAATATAAAGAGACTATAATGCTCGATGACAAAATATTTTTGCATGACTATTCAGTGACATTTTGAGAAAAGTAATTAAAACCCCAAGCTTTAAATAACTTTCCTGGACAGCAGTGATAGTAACAATAAAGATACTGTTAAGGGCCATTGAGCTGACTTGACAGGTTAGTGCAGTTTCTGATGATCAGAGTGAGAGGTATTTCCAGAAACACGGTGGAAAGAGAATCCACTTTCAAGGAGTGTCCTCTGACCTCTGTATGCACATCCCAACCCAAGAGTCTTAAAAAGCTTGAGATAAACATTAAATAATAAAAAACAACTTTCAGGTAGCAAAGTGAATCCAAATGTATCTCATTCCAGAGCTTCTCAAACAATCTTCTGATACAGTACATAGATCTCACCAACAAATGAGAGGAAAGGAGAGAACAAAAGCAATGTGTAGCTTTGTGTGCACATGTGTTACCCACGGCTGCCTGGATGCTATTGTGACTTTTTATAGGCAATCAATCATTACTGTCTTCATACCAACTGTTCTGTGGCCACCAGTTTAAGGAACTTTTTGATGAAGTCAATGAGTCCTTGGATGGTCCGAGTTCGCTCCACAGCCCATTTCTTTGTTTTCATTATAGGCGTGTCTCCTACCGCCTTCAGCAGGATGTCAACTTAAAAAAAAAAAAAAAGACAATTGTACTGAAACAAACATCTGATGAGAATGTGACAACCAACAGTTCGGAAAGCTTAAACCTTTTATCTTCATAGTTCATGTAATTAGCACTCTGGAGCTACTACGTCAGAGACATAAAAGTATTAGACTCTTTCCACTATTTTCCCCCTCGATCCTACAAAGTTCTCCCTATAGGATTAAATTTTAAGACACACTTTAACAAAGCAGCATTCTAAAGATAAATAGAACTGGCCTATGACACAAAACAATACCCCAACAACCAAGAGAAACAAATCCCGCACCCTTTCTCCCACCTAACTGGTGGTAAAAGTAGGGTGAAGGTTCAGGTGATCTTGCTGTGGCCACTGTGACGTGGCATACCTTTCTGGAGAGCAATATGGTAATATATAACATATAGATACACTTGACTCAATAACATACTACTTAGAGTCTTAAAAAGTTTGAGATTCATAAAGATTCACTTAGAAGGATGTCACCTTCATCAAAGCATATAGTTTTACAGGATAAAGGAGTAAATTTATATACTCAAGCTGCACACGTAGATGGGATAAAATAAAGTATGAGATACTTTATGACAGAATTTATAAAGAAAAGACACATTCCAAACTGGGTCCAAACTGTGGCTCTGTCATTTGTTAGAGCTACAAACTTTGTAATCTTTCACTCTCAAAACCCTATTAACACACCTACCTCCTCACAAAGTAAGTTAATGTATATACACAACAGTACCCAGACCATGACTTATAGTCACTGAGATTTAAGATTACAACATAGCTGTTTGAAAACATATAATAAAGGCAGCTAATAGTTTAAGTTGACAAAATGTACAAAATAAAAATCATGTATATGCAACCTCAACCTCATTGACAAAGTATTACAAACGCATACTCATTTTAGTATTGATATACATCAAAATATTTTCATAATAGTGACATATGGCTTTTTGTAAATACCAATTTTTTATACTTAATTTTATAATAATAAAAAATTATTATTATTTAAAAAAATACAATCAGGGGCCCAAAAGAAGTTTCAAAGACTCAAAAAAAGATATGTGAGCCAAGACTGGTACCCTTAATTAAGGTTATATCCCTTTAAGAGATATCTACAACAGCCCTCAAAGAGCTGTACTACTGATACCACACTTGCTCCACTCGTTTGTATCCACAGTTGGGGTCAAGTTATCCAAATTTTCTCCTGAAGTCAGGCGTGGTGATATAGGTTTTTAATTCTAGCCTCAGGAGGCAAAGGCAGGTTGGCTGGTCTACACAGCGAGTTCCAGGAGATCAAGTTTCCTCCAGAGATAAAATACAGGCTCCTAGAACATATGATGCAGCTTATCTTCCTAAAGAACAATCTAAGTATCTTTTCATTATTTGGGGAACACTGGATGAGTTAGAAAGGAAGAAAGATGATTTTTGTTAGCCTATCTTTCATACCTTGGTCTCCAGTTCCCTCAACCCCCTGGAGCAATCAATAGCTCAGTAGCAATTAGGTGCCAAGTTGTACTACTGAAGAAAGAAGAGCCAGAGGGCAAGAAGCTAGAGAAATGTTTATAATAATTACAGTTGTAGTCTCCAAACGATTTGCTTATAGCTCAGAAGCCTGGCTTCATATTAGCGTCAACTAGAGAACAGTAAATATACACAGCAACCAAACTGCAATCTTTTGCAAAATAGGATCTTAGCACTAGTATTCAAAAGCTTGGTTAGGAAAGCCTGTTAATACTGTGCCACCAGGGCCCTTCTCATCAAATTCTCTGCAAAAGAATAAAAACAGGAATTCAATCTGTGTTAAAAAAAAAAAAAAAGACAAAAAAGTAAAAGAAAATATAGATCCAAATAAACAGTCATCTCAGGCGGTATCTTGGATTATGGGTCATTTTCTAGTTCTTGTTTTCTCTCTCTCTGTCTCTCTCTCTCATACAGCAATCATCAGGATGAAGGACAATTTTGACTTACACATTTATATTTTTATTTGTTTATTTTTTGAGGGGGCACAGGTTGGCCTTGAACTTAAAGATCTGCCTTCTTCAGGCTGGTGAGTGCTGGGATTAAAAAATGTACAGCATCACCCAGCCTCTGGTCTCCATCTTAAAGGAAACCTCGGAAAATCAGCTCCATGCAGTTACCTGAAGAAAAAAAACATTGGGACCGTTTTTTTTTGTTTTTGTTTTTAAAGTTAACAGTGGTGGCTCCTTTCTAAATATTCATTGTAGTACACTATGAATACATGACAGATTTCCTCCAAATGCAAAGTCAGACTTTTTTTCTTTCTTTCTAGTTGAGCTGGGGATTGGACTCATGGACCTTTTGTAATGATCTACTACTGGGCTCCATGTGCCTGCATCTCCCAGCGTGCTGGGAGACAATTCTCCTCCCAGGCAGAATAAATAAGGTGGTGAGATTAAGGGGCAGAGACCACACCCAGATCTACATTTTACGTCTCTGGAAGGAGAACAGATAAGGACAAGGTTTACTTTTTCCTTAAAATGTGTTTATGTGCTGATTTTTCTTATAGTCAACTCTAACTCCACAGTGTTCAGTGCAAGTTAATCTGAATTTCCTTTACTTTCCAGTGGCAAGCGCAACCCTAAGACAATACAGAGGTTGAGGACAACTAGTTCAAGTAATTCAATGATGTACGTAAGACATGAAAAGTTCACGAAAACGTAGCACCTATACCTTTAGTTTTCCCTTAGCATTCTTCAGTATCCAAAGCTCCAGTTTTTTGTTCTTCTTGTTCTAAAGAATGAACCCCTAGGGAACTCGCCCGAATTCGTGGACTGTTACTGGTTAACCCTGTCACCTTACATTTTTATTCCAGTAACCAGTCTTATGTTAAGTACCTGGAGCTACTGAGATCCCACTTGGCTCCTGCCTTCAAAGCCCAGACTCTGTAAAAGGTGGGAACGATGGGGAACTCGGGCATCACCCAGATCACCTAAGCACTCAAAAGGCGTGAAGACCAGTAAGCACTTTTGTGAAACCCGAACAGGAGCCACACCGTTACACACTGTTACTGCGTCTCCATACCTTACAGGAATAAGTCTGTTTTCTAAACCTAATGTTTCCTGCGAACCATGATTTTGAATCTACGCTGACCTTGTAACCCCAGGACCTATACATACCCACATCTTTGTCTTGCTAAACTCTCGTGGTTGACTCCCTTTCCTCATGATGTATCTTTGCACTTACCTACCCCACTCGTGGCCTTGAGATCTGAGTCTCCTACTCTTCTGTCTAGATGCTAACATCCAATTATCTTGGCAGTTGTTTTCAATCAACTCTAACCCTTCCCCATAAAAAGGACCTCAAAAGCCAGTGAGGGGTTGCGCTCTAAAACCCCGATTTAGGGAGAGGCAGTCGTCTGGGCTGTCCCTCGTGCAATTCTAAATACAGCTTGGTTTCATCAGACAGCCGTGTAAATGCCCCCGCCCCGGTCTAACAATTTTGCTCAATTCTAAGAGTAGAAAGTGCACCTCTAGGATGCGCCCTTCTTTAGCTTTTGCTTCTTTACGGGCCATCACTCATGCCTCCGCCCACAAACGGATGTTGACATTACTTTTTTTCTTGGTGTCTCCGGGAGGTTCCTCGGTACCGGGCGAAACGGCAGTCGAAGACGGGGGCTCTGGGGTGGCTGTTTCCGGGGAGAGCTCCGAAACGCTCTCGCCGCCGGCCGCGGCCGGAGCCGCGGGGAGCTGCAGCACTGCCTCTGAGTCTTCCGACATCTTGAGTCGATGGCGGAAGTGATGTAGCAGCGTAAAGGGGTTGAGCCTTGCTACACGAAGCGTCGGGAAGCAGGTGGGACCCGGATTGACAGTGAACTTTGGGATGTTTAGAGAGCAGTCCATGTTGGTAGTCTGTTGGAAACACGGCAGTTAACGAAGTATCGAGTGTCATCTAGTTCAGGCGAGTTCTGAAGGGCTTCCGTGACGAGCCTCCGTGAGAAACCATGTGAACACGTACCCCTCCGGAGAGTTGGCTGGCCCCGGGACGCTTCCGGTTCCTTTTGGCCTGCCCCGCCCAGGCCCCGCCTCCAGGCCCCGCCCCTCGGCGCGGGAGCGCGCGCGCGCGTGCGGGAGGGGGCGGGTGGGGAAGCAGCGGCGACAAGCTCCCGGAGGCGAGGCTCGCGCGCCCGCCCCCGCCCTGGCCTCAGCGCCCACCCGGTCGGCCCGGCCCAGCCATGATCAAGGCCATCCTCATCTTCAACAACCACGGGAAGCCGCGGCTCTCCAAGTTCTACCAGCCTTATGTGAGTATGCCCCTGCCGCGGAGCCGGGCGAGGGCGAGCGCCGGCGCAGGGCAGCGCCCAGCGGCTTCCTCAGAACGACCCTCGCGCCGCCGCGGCCCTCCCGGCGTCCGACTTCTCGCGCCGCTAGCTGTCAGGTCGGGCGGTGGGGAGCCGCTGCCACTCCCCGCCGGCCGCTCGCCGTCAGTGGGCGAGGCGGTCTCTCCGCCTCAAGGGGCGCTGCCCACCTACCCGGTACCTCAGCCCGGGTACCTCAGCCCGGCCCCTCAGTCCCACACCGCGGCCGCGCTGCTGTTTCCTGTCGGGCGACCGCAGGGGGTAGTCGGCGCCCAGTCCGGTTCCCGGTCCCACTCGCCGCAGCTCAGGCTGGTCCGGGTGGACTGCTTTCTGTCGTCCGTGGACAGATGGGCTACCGTGTCCGCCCTAATCCTCTCCGAGCTCAGCAACTTTGGCTCGCCGCACGCCCTGGCCAGTCTGTCCAAGGTTTCCATACGGAAGTATCGGAAGCCCAGTGTGACTTCCAGGTGGCTATTGAAAAAAGAAATTAAGCGGGGGCCCTGACGTTTCTCTTGGACTTTTAACCTACTATATGAATTTACTCTTGAAATAATTGGCAGCATAGGTGGTTGACCCATCAGAAAGGGATTCTGTATCTGGGAAATTAAACGAGTTCATTTTGTATGGCTTTTCTTTTTAAACCGGAACATGTGGACATTTACCCTAGGTTTTAGTTTAAACCAAATAGCATCTGTGAAAGTTCTCTTCTAGAACTGTGAACATTGTTTAATATTGCTAGGGGCAGGTGACTTTAAAGTCGCGAAGATAATTTTAAGCGTGTGAGGAGAGGTAATATAGGTTTCTATGCCTTACCTGAGGGCAAAACTAATACCTAGGTCATATACTGAACTGTCATTTGTAGGGTGAATGGGAGCTGTGTAGATGTTGTGCTGTCTTGGGGCGTTTTGCTTTTATAGCTAGACATGGACTTTCAATTTAGTGTTGAAAACGTGCCAAGACCAACACTTTATGTGGATGGCCCCAGATGGAAATTATTCCTGCCATTAAAAATGAAACGTGAAAATGTCAGTTTGCCTAAAGTGATAATGCAGTCTGTGGAGGTGTTGGTTGAAGTGAGAAAAGGAGCTGTCTCATTTCCTTAAGTTGCTTTGCTTTCCCTAATGACAAAGAACACTTTGCTCTACTTTTGTGTGGGTTTTAGTGTGGTATAACTTAAATGTTAATGGTCTGTTTAAAAATTCTAGATCATTCTTGAATCCAAAATAACATTCGAGTTGTTCCTTCTGAAGAAAACAATGGCATTAACTTGACATCATTATCTGATTATCTAAAATGTTAACGAGCCCTTGTTGAATCCTATGCAGGTAATCACTGCATAGATAGAATTAAATCATGAAGTATGAATTTAACTTCAAAGTCTAGAAATAGAACTATCTTTTCCCTTTAGCTGTTAGGTAGCGGTGAAAGCCCGTGTGGGAAAAGGCAGTTGAGGGACCCGTAGAGGTACTGTTTTGGCCATTGCCTGAGTGACAGTGCTGCTGGAGGTGTGAAGATGGAAGGTTTTTAGAAAGTGTTCTGGCTATGTAGAGGTGGTGCACCAAAAACCATTTCTTTGTGTCAGTCTTTACAAATTGGATTTCCCCAACCTTGTGCTAAATTGTCTCTCAGAAATAATTGAGAGTAATTTATTTCTTTGCTTCCTGTGCTAGACTGTAACCCCTGTGAGGGCAGATAGTATTTTTCATTTATGTATTCCATTGTCAGTCTGTCATGGCATGTGCACTGCATGTCTGCCACATGTGGGCACTGTAAATGAACAAACACCTTCTGCTTTGTGGGTGTAACCATAGCTAGTAAATAACCTATATGATATTTCAGGTTTTAGTAGTAATAAGTGATGTGGAAAAAATAAAGTAAGGCAAAGTAGAGAGTGTGAGGATGGAAATTTTAAAATACTTCAGCCAGTTACTTTCTCACCAAAAAGTAATTTTTAAGCAAAGTGTTGAATGTGGTAAGAAAGGTAACCTTGCAGAGAAGTACCCAGGGGAAAGGGCATTCCATGTGGAGGATGCAAAAGTTGAATGTTTGAAGAATGAGCATCAAGAATACAAGCATTGCAAACGGAGGCTGTTGGGGAAGTAGTTTTTGGGTATGGCATTTGTTTGTGTAGGTCATTCGAGTATAACCCTTTTGCATTGCCTGAAATTCCTTTCTTCGTGAGATGTCTAAAATAGAAATTTGTTCATTGCCTAGCCTCAGACACCATATTTATATTTTCTGAAGGAATTTACCTGCTGCTATTCTTATCTTAGAATTTTATTTTTTATTTTTTAAGACTTATTTATTTATTTTACTGCTATTCTTGTCTAGAATTTTTAAATTTTTTAAAAAGATTTATTTATTTATTTGATGTGAGTACACTGTAGTTTTCTTCAGACACAACAGAAGAGGGCGTCAGATCCCATTGCAGATGGTTGTAAACCACCATGTGGTTATTGGGAATTGAACTCGGGACCTTTGGAAGAGTAGTCAGTGCTCTTAACCACTGAGCCATCTCTCCAGCCCAGAATTTTATTTTTTACGGTATGGTAGTCTGTTTCACTGCCCATAATTCCTCAGGATATCTTATAGATTTTTATAGAAGTTATAATTTAAGTATTTTTGTGTTACCTCCGGCAGTCAACATTGAGTCTTTAATGTATTAAACTTTTTTAAAAATTAGTTTTTATTTATGTGTGTGTGTATGTGCATATGTTTGACATGTCTGTATATACTGCATGCATGCAGGTGCCTGCAGAGGCTCGAAGGAGTGGGTTCTTCTGGAACTGGAGTTTCAGTTGGTTGTGAGCTGCCTGAAGTAGGTGCCAGGAGCCAGACTGACTCCTGCAAGAGCAGTAAGCATTCTTAACCCAGCAGTCTTCTCTAGCTCTTGTAGTAAACCAATGAATTGCTGTTGAATGCATTACTTTGGGATAAAATTTGGATTAAAAATGATTTGTTAAATTTCTTTCCAGCTGTTAAAATCTAGTCCTTCATTAAGCAGAGATTTTCTGAATCTATGTATTTAGCACAAAAATACTGAAGTTACTAAAGTAACTTTACCCATTCCTGGGCTAGGGTGAAGGAAGCCACTAAGATGTGTTCATCAGGGCTGGCAGGATGGCTCAGCTGTTGAGACCTTTACTGCCCAGCCCTATGGCCTGAGATCCCTCCATAGAACCCATGTGCTGGAAGGAAAGAACCACTTTTTCATTTTGTCCTCTAACCCTTTGGTGTCTCCCTCACACAAGTAAGTTAAGAAAATGTTCCTTTTTTTTTTTATTTATTTAAAAAGAGGTATATATTCAGTAAGACTAGCAGTTTCAAGTTAAGTAAGTTAAACAGTATTTAGGGATATTTCTAGGCCAGCAATTTCAAACCCTGGCAGGATGCTGAGGTCTGAGCTCAACATTTACAGTTAATACTAACAGTTTGAAAATTGCTTAACTTTAACATGTTTCCCTACTACGATGGGTTTTTACTCAATGTTTAGGCTTCTTCAGGTGGTTATCTCTACTCCTTTGTAGTGTAGATGTTGTGCTGTAATAGCCTTGGTCATACCTGTCAATGAGTGTGTGTCATTTGTGTCACATGAGGTAACACATGTATTTTGCTCGTCTTTGGTGAGCTAAAGTTTTGGCTCATTCTGCTAGAATCAGATACTAAGAAAGGGTGGACTCAGTACTTCCCTCCCCCTTTTTTTTGCCTTCTATATCTTTGAGATTGTCACTATAGAAGTTCAGAATTCGTGTGTGTGTGTGTGTGTGTGTGTGTGTGTGTGTGTGTGCATTTTATCTTTCTAGGGATGCTTAGCCACAGTAATCTTGCAGTACTGACTTTTAATCTTAATTTACGTAGAAATTTTTAGTATATTACTGACACTTGAACCAGAAGTATTCTTACATAGCTATTAAGCAAGAATGCAACAAAACCTCCTTGAACTACATGATTTCTGTTTTATTGGTAAGCTATAACATATTCTTTAGTGAGTCATGTTAATAAAGTGGAAATATGTGAGTTGTCATTGTTTCTACAGATATTAAAGATTACCACACATTTAAAGTACAAGCAAGGCATTTCTAAACTGTAAAATGCATGAGTTATCTCACAGTGTCCTTGTAACTTGTGTTTAAGTATTGGGTTGTTTAACAACTTCAGATTCTAGAAGGGACTCAGTTCTTTAAGTCCTTAAAATATAAAATAGGGGATTTTGAATGTATAGTTTGTTTTGTTTTTTTGTTTTGTGAGACAAGGTTTCTATGTGTAGTCCTGGAACTCACTCTGTAGACCAGGCTACACTGGCTTTGAACTCAGAAATCCGCCTGCCTCTGCCTCCCAAGTGCTGGGATTAAAAGCGTGCACCACCACTGCCTGGCTTATTAGTTTCCTTTTTAGTGACTTAAGAGTGTTGCAGGTAAGATAGTTAAATGCATTGTTTTCCATCTCTCTTACTTTTTCCCAGGGCTGGGGTGAAACCTAGGGCTTTATGTATGCTTAGATGTGCTGTACCGCTTAGCTACACCCCAGTTGTTAATCAGTGTGGCACCCAGCTGTATTCCCAGTTCTAGGGAAGCTGAGGCAGGTGGATCACTTAAGCCCATAAATTGGAGTCTAGACAACATAGCAAGATCCTGTTTCAAAATTCAGAACAAAATGAGATTGAAAAGGTATAATTATCAATGTTTCTTGAGTATTGGCATATCAATACATTTTATTACACATCTCAACTTTTTAAAATGATTTATTTGATTTTATTTTTTATATGCATTGGTGTGAGGTTATTGGATCCCTTGGAACTGGAGTTACAGACAGTTGTGAGCTCCCAGATAGGTGCTAGGAATTGAACTAAGGTCCTCTGGAAGAGGACTTAACCACTGTACCATTCTCCCCATCCCCCACATTTCAACTTTTTAAAGAAAAAAGATTCCATATGATTTATTTTTTAA